GTAACACGTGCATGCAACCTTGTAAATAAGTTTGTAGCTTGTAAATAGTTTTTCATTACTCAGTGTAAATGGCTTTTCATTAAAAATTACCCGGCGACGCATCTTGGAAATGGTCGGCGACGCTTTGGGCTTAAAAACCCATATATTGGCGACGATGCTTCCACCTTCTGCACCCTGGGCCACAGCTATAAACTAAAAAACTGCGCTGCAACTTCTCCATGCAACAAAATTTCTTCTCGCTTCAGATCACCGACATGTGGAACAGTGGCAGTGGAACAGCCTCCCCAATGAGTGCAATGACATTGTTGGCGGCTTGGCGCTCAAAGTATGAACCATAATGAACGTGTTCAAGAACAAAGTTCAACATACTAGATAAAGCTATGAAAAAATACATGTTCAGATTTGAAATGCCTAGCACCATATCGAACCTGGTGGAAGTCGAGTACCGTAGCTATTTCAAACTTTCCTTAGTCGTAAAAAGATCCGCTCAAATGACACGATTTTAGATCTTCCGTGAACAAGGCACAAAAAGGAAAAGAATTGGCAACAGGCCACATCAGGCCTACACTGCAGTGCTGAGATCACTATGTTATGTTATGTTATTGAAAACATCAGGGGTCAAGCTCCACTCTCCAGCATACACTTAAATCATAACTTTTGTCCACTTTCTGAACACTGAGTTTATCCCTCCCTGAAGTTGAAGATATTGTTGATGCTCTTGCTCAGGTATGATATGAATGCATTCAAGAACAGAGTCAACAAACTAGACAAGAGTGACAAGACAAGGGGGCCAGGGCACAAGGTCATGCACGAGCGACGAGCATATGCATGGCATATGCTCGACTAAAAAATGAACTTGAGGGATAGTCTAAAAAAAAANGGTTAGGTTAGGGAAGAATAAACAAAGTTAAGTAAGTTTGGGTAATGCTGCGCAGGGTTTTGAATTATGGGTAATGTAAGGTTGGGCTCGAGATAATTACATTATTTTGAGTACGGAAAGTTTATTATGAGTATGGATGGAGTAGAGCCGTACAGGTTAGGTAAGGTTGGATAAGGTAAGGTATAAATAATTATGGTTACATAGATTATGGTAGATGGGGGAAAGCTAGACAAGTTTAGGCAAAATCAGCAATGTGATATACAGAGAGAGTAAGCAAGGTTTTAAAATATATGGAAGTGGTCAATTCTTTTGATGTTTTTGGAATTGCGTTTGAGTTAAAATACGATAGTGGCAGAGTGAGCTGATGATTGCTTGAGTGCTGTCTAATGTTGCAATTGATGAGATTTGAATTGTGACTGTGAGTATTGGAATTCTTTACAGGATTTGTTTTCGGTGGACTACCGAGTGTATAGTTTAGAGTTTTATTGGCAAAATGCAGGGCGTTGTTGCTTAGTTTTGTTGGCGTGACTGATGAGTGATAAAAGTGTGAGTGTTGCTATTTTAATGATGGCTTTTTGAGATTGATTATTTTGATAAGTGATAAGATATAGGACTGTGAGTATATATTGTATTTGCCTTAATGACGGAGTTGTTTGATGCGAGTGAATTGTTGAAAATGATGTGAAAAAGAGTGCGCTGGTGATTGAATTGACTAGGTGTGTTATTGGTGTGATTTATATTATTATTGAAGTAATTTAGAGCTGTTTGTAACGTAACATGTTATGTGTGAAAAGGGACTGTTGCGGCATGATTGTCCCTGATGTGCTGGTTTAATGCACTTTTCCCTGTTTATGATGCAGATACTCCTGAACTATCGACGCAGGCTCAAGTCTCAGTCATCGAGAGTTGAAGTTTCTCTTTTACTCTCTGATATTCGGTGGCTGTGGGTACGGATTGAACGAAAGTCAATTCAAGAAGTATCCTACCGTGGAATGCAAACAATCGTACGATTTAGATTGTTTAAACATTAGTCAATTTAGATTCTTGTCATGCAATCAAATGATTATTTATCACTGTGATCTTGATTGTATTTCAGTCACCATTTCATTTCATGTTTTTCATGCTGCAAGTATTTTAACATTTTGCTTACGGTCTAATATTATCGAGTTTAATGCCTAATATTGAGTTAGTAGACTTATCGCGTAGCAGACATTGTGATCGCGTATGAATTATTTTAAACTCGTGCTTAATTTTCACTCTAAATTTCAATCAAGTTAAGAATTGCTTATGGTTCAATGCACAATAAGATTTATTTTTTTCTGAATTCGAAAAATCGCAGCTAAAATCTCACCGCTGCTGAAAGAATCGGACACTTGGCCACGCTAACAAACTTACAATAATTTTAAAATCCCCATTGACAATAAATTCACATAAATAGTTTGCAGAAATTAAATTAACTTATTATTATCTAGCCCAAACAAACATGCAATTGCTGATTTATTTAGCTTTTTCTATTATTGAATAATTTTAATAGATGACGTGTGCTGTCTAAAAAGTCACTTTTGACGCCAAAATTCAGATTGCAAAGAACGCACTGTGCATGAAGCAAAATTTTCACGATTTGATTAATTAAGTAATATAGTTAGGTCTTTGCGGTTGCTTTTTACGATGTTCGAAAAGTGGACAAACCAACAATGGTGAGTAATGATTGTTTTCCGACAGTATATTAATTGTAAAATTTAAATAGTTGTATAAAGTGCTATTACACAACTTCCTTCGATAGATTTCGTAATAGCTATCCGAGTAATATTTATTTTTAAATTATAATACGTCATATTTGAGTAATATATCACATTTATAAACAGCTAGACTACCCATTATATTTATAATGTAAAGTAATAATAGGTCACAATATATTTCTCGTAAAATTCAATGGCCCAGCTTGCTGCGTTACTTATCATAGATTCTATTCAATGCTTTTGATTGATGTTTTGTCGTCGATGCGGGGATAATTTTTTTTATGGTAAGCATGTTCTATGGTTTATGGTGTTCAATAAATTTTGTACTATGTTGATCTTTATTTGAGGTCATTGCTAGTTGAATTGTGATCGCACGTTCAACGAGGACAAATTTTAAAGGGCGATAGTAGCCCTACCTTCAATTGTGATCGGAAGTTCAATGACGTTCACAAACTCTTGAGTGATCAAACGTTCAATAATGATCACAAATTCAATTGGCATTATAAGTTCAATGAGGAACTTAATGTCTACATAGATAGCACTTTCAGCAGTCATATCAAATTCCAGGCTGATCACAGGTTCTAGGCGACCGTGCGTTTTATTTGAAACACAAGTGAATAAGGGGAACCAGCACGTTTTATGGTGATTGAAAGTTCTAGGGTAAATGGAAATTTGGTTATTAATGACTGCAATCTTTAAGTTGATCTCGAGTTTAGAGATGATCGTTATTCTTGAAGTGATCGCAAATCTGAAGGTGATCATGTATTTAATTTTGATTGCAAATTTACTTGTGAGGTGATCGCAAGGTTCAAGGTGATCCCAAGTCTTAAGGTGGTGAATCATATTGATTATATTTTATGAACTACTGATATATTCAATGGTAATCGCAAGCCTTAAGGTGATGATATATTCAACGGTGATCGCAAGTCTTAAGATGATGATAGATTCAATGGTGATCACAAGCCCTAAGGCGATCAGGCAATTGATGATGATCACAAGTCTTAAGGTGATGATATTTTCAACGGTGATCACAAGTCGTATGGTGATGATACATTCAATGGTGATATCAAGTCTTAAGGTGATGATATATTCAATGGTGATCGCAACTTTACTTCCCTACACAAACTATCTTTTCCCTCAGCTCGTATGGGGAGATGGTTGGCTGGTGCCCGACGTCGGACGAGCTCCTCCAAGCTGCCGAACACAAACTTCTGAAGCGTGAGTTGCGAGTTACTAATATTGTTTCAGTTCAGTTTGAGTTAGTGGATATTTAAAATAATTTTAAATAAAGTAAAACTCAATTCAATTTTTTTCGCGACCTATTTAGAAACTTTTAATGAATCCCGAACACGAGCAGTTTAAATTAGAGTTCTAATTGTGTGCAAGTTATGGTTAGCCTTGCAACGGAAAGTTGCATGGTTATTTTGTACCATATTCGTTGAAACTGCTTATGCTTAGCACACTGTCATTAAAATTAATACGTGATAACATTTGTATATTAACATATTACCATTAACATTATTATTAACCAAAAAGCAATACGTCGACAGGTAAATAATAGTCAAGAATTATAGTAGCTCCCACCCTCATGTTGGGGGTTTGCTAACATTTTAACGTGACGACATCTACTCGCACGCTGCTCAAGCTGCTAGGAACTGCTGACCTCAATACCGTGACCTCGCCGCTTACATGGCTGCATGGACACAGGATTTAACGCTAGCTCATAAACTTACGGTTTCTGTTTTGGCAGTTTGTAAGTTTCTGTTTTGGCAGTTCGTAAGTTTCTGTTTTGGCAGTTCGTAAGTTTCTGTTTTGGCAGTTCGTAAGTTTCTGTTTTGGCAGTTCGTAAGTTTCTGTTTTGGCAGTTCCATAAAACTTACGGTTTATGGCAGTTCGTAGAAATAGATCGGAGTAGTACCAAATTTTTAATGTAATGACCTCGCGTGAATTTTTCGTTTTAACCGGCCATAGATAATTTTTTTATTTCAACAGGTTTATTCATAATTGTTATGATAATATTGTACAGTTTAAATCTATGGGCAAATATCATTTTAATTTAAAACCAATTGGGAGCTACCCAGAGGTAAATTTCGCGTAAATTTTCAATGTTAAATAATGTAATTCGTCCTATTGTTTTAATTATACAGACATAAAATCCTTGGAAGACGAAGGCGTTTTTGCTGACATCGGCAGCGTGGTTGGCAACACTGACAACAAAGTGTTGACATATCGCGCCAACACCGCCAGCCGCAACACGCCCTTGGTGCTGCTCCACGGCTTCGGCTGTCCCTCCGCCTTCTGGTGTCTCAACGTAGACGCGCTGGCAGAGCATCGTCCAGTTTACTTCATGGATATGCTCGGTGATTTGATAAATCATGTTGCTTATATTCCATGAACTACAGTAATTGAAGTCAGTACTTTCACCTAATTATTTTGAAAATGTAAGGTGATTCTCAATTTTTTTTTTAAATCAATGACTGCAATTTTTGACGATAGCATATAATTATAAGAAATTAGCGTAAAGATTATGTTATTCAGCCGTGTACCATTTTTAGTCCTAATTCATTTTCATTTGGACAGTTTGGTTACATTTCAGTGTGGGACTGATTGTGACACTGGGGCAATTTTTCTTGTCAGAATAAATGACATTAAGGAAAAAAAGTCGATGGCCTCTTTAGCTACTGCATTTAAATTTTCAAAGACAAATCAATAGATATTTATTTCACACCGTTACTATGGGATAACCGAATTAAATCTCAAATCTATCTAAAAAATGTTCATATTACTTTTTGAATCTGGTTCCACATTCGAAATAGAAAAAGACTGTTCGTAATTCGTGCACAAGTTCCACGTTATTTATGATGTATGTTTCATAATTTATGCACAAGATCGCGTTATTTATGAAGTGTGCTTCAAAATTCATGCAAAAGTTGATCTATTATATTTATTGAAAACGATGTGCTGGAGAATATTGATGTAAGTATTTTAAATAGAAATAAGGACCATTTGCCTGCTGCCTTAGATAAATTAACACTATCATATAATAATATATAGCATAATATAATAATATAAAGATATATAATATAATAAGAAATCTGTGTTTTGGAAGTATTAAAATTTCCGAAGTTCATTGGAAGTAAACTGTCGCATAATGCACGTTCGATTAAATTGATTCGATTAATTCGATTAAATTCCCACTGCTTCAGGGTGGTGCACCTGATACTGGAGGACCCCTGGGGCTTCCCCCAGCAGGTGGGCCGCTACAACAACAACTCCGTGGGTGTGATGACCATGTGGGTGTTGTCGCACTTTGTGCCCCCACTCTTCCTGCTGCGCTGGCTCGGCCCTCTGGGTGAGTCCAGCTCGTTTTGTGAGATACTGGGCCCAGTTGAATATATTGAATGTATTGTGCCCAGTTGAATGCTTCTATTGTATTGCGCCACGTTAAACGCCTCAAGTGTATTGAGCCCAGTTGAATGTTGCTCTTGTATTGCGTCCAGTTGAATACCTCGAGTGTATTGCGCCCAATTGAATGCCTCAAGTGTTTTGCGCCCCGTTGAATGCCTCTAGTTTATTGAGCCCAGTTGAATATATTGAATGTATTTCGTAAATTTGAATGCTTCGATTGTATTGCGCCCCGTTAATTGCCTCGAGTGTATTGCACCCAGTCGAATGTTTCTTTTGCATTGCGTCTAGTTAAATATGTTGAATGTATTGTACTGTAAACGTCAGGTCACTGGTTCGCTAATGACTGTACACGTCATGTCACTGGTTCACTAATGACTATACACGTTATGTCACTGGTTCACTAATGACTATACATGTCAGGTCACTGGTACGTTCGTCAAAAACCGCCCTTCGATTCGACGCATTACGGCAGAGCGACCGACGACCACGTCAGCGCCGTCCACGACTACTTCTATCACAGCAACGCCCGCAATCCGACGTAAGTTCAACAAATTTTCTACCACAACAACCCCAGCAACCCGACGTAAGTTCAACCAAGTTTTCACTTTTCTACCACAGCAACGCCCGCAACCCGACGTAAGTTCAACCAATCACGAAATTAGTGATTCTCTTAGCCTATACAGTTAGCCTATGATGGTTGTTCTGTTATAGTAATGTGCATGAGAATCCGATATTAAAATATGGTCCTCGATGCCCGCTTGCCAAAGTATTATTCACTCTATAAATCTATTTCTAATCACGCGATCTAATTGAAGCAAGCTTTGAGAATCACACGCATTAAAAATTGATACTCCGCTGGAAAAATAAGAAATCAGAACATTTTTCCTTTTGCAGCGGTGAAGTTGCCTTCCATTCGCTGATGCTGGGGGTGGCGTGGGCGCGCTTCCCTCTGGTCAACCGCATGCACGACTTGCGTGGGGACGTTCCTATAACGTTCCTGCACGGCCAGCTGTCGTGGGTCTCGAAAAAGACCAGTTTCAAGGTCAAGGACATCAGAAAAGATTCCTACGTCGATATCAAGGTATGAGTTAGCCTGTAAGTCAACCTGGAAATATTTAGTCTCTAGCCTCGCATATTGGTCGTTGAGGTGTAAACGATATCTCACTGTTGCAATGACCTCCTAAATAACGATGTCACTCACGCTCAATCAAATAGTTTTATGTCCAGCTGAATCCTGCCGGACATTTTGATTAGAACCTGAAAGCTGAACGCTCATGGTTCTAAGTACAGTGTATACAAGCCCCAAGACAATGAAGATAATCAAGGTCATTGATAACGCAATGGCTACCGGTTTTACTGACGTCAAGTCTATTTTCGTTGTCGCATTTGGAAATTCAAGTGTTACTGTTATTGTTGCCGCAATACTTTTTTGTATGACATCGAGTTCGATTCACCTTTCATCCGAGACATGAGAAATGAAATAAATGAGGTATACACTCTTTGCCCAGAATCAGTCAATTTCCTAGTAAGAATTTTTAAATGTTGTAGTTAGTGGGTACTGCACAGTGAGGCAGAATCCCATCGATATCAGTAATCATTTCGTGTATTTGATTCTGTTCATCATCACAGGCGGTCATTTATGACTTAGATCGATCACGATTTTTAGAAAACGTCGTTTATATCCGCAGATCATAGCCGACGCCGGACACGTCATACACTCCGATGTCCCCGACGAGTTCAACAAAATCGTCAATGACATTCTCGAAGGTATCGACAAAGGCATCATACCTTCTACGCGTCACTCTCCCAGCGGCGATTTGCGTCATATCAACAACAATTTATGCGATGCCACAGAAAAAAATACATATGAAGCTCGGAAATCTTTTCCATGTAATTTAAAGAAGTCCGAGCATCTTGTTGACGCTCTGCAAACAACCGCTTCGAGTTGACCATGTTGAGTTATTAGAGTCTTTTAGCCTAATAATAATTCAAATTAGCAATGAGTACTTTTTAATGACAGATTTTATTAACAGCCATTTACACAAATGAAAAGTTTGATTTACTATAAGTTTTTTTAATTTTAATGTCGAGAGGCAGGGTGGCCCACGTGCTTAAATTTCAGAATACCAAGATTGGAGCAGAGAGGCGCGGGTTCAAGCCCAGCTCTGTGCGCCAGTTTCTGGTCAAGCAAGGAGGCCGGGCGGTTAAGCACAACAGAATTAGAGCAGTGAGTTGTCAGAGCTTGAGAGTTGAGACCGCAACAAGCTGCGAATGTTCTGTGATGTTAAGAATCGGCAGCAGGCCAACGGACTTATAAACGCTGAAACCGCTATATTATTATTATTATATATTAATAAACATTCTAAATCGAACCTCTTTCGTTACCAAAAACACGCAATTGATGCTGGGCGCATATGAGAATTATCGATCTACAGTTGGACGAGCTCACTTCAAACTGGCGATAACTCTACCTCAATAGATGCGAGTAACATCAGAGTTGAATAAACTCTTTGCGCACCAGTGTATCTTCAAGTCAATGCTCACATTCGGGTACGCACACTAAGTTTGGTCATAATTTATTTGACTGAATTCTATGGAATCGAGTTTTTACCATTTCTCTGCATCATCAAGTCGAACATCCTGATGTAATTTTCGGATAAATTTCTAGTGAAGTCAGATTGACCATAAGTCAATATCGACGGACAGTCAACTTAGGCTTCCATGCGTTCACCCGTAATTTAAATACCCACGAAGCACGGAAATCGTTTCCATGCAATTTAAAGAACTCCGAGCATCTTGTTGACGCTCTGCAAACAACCGCTTCGAGTTGACCATGTTGAGTTATTAGAGTCTTTTAGCCTAATAATAATTCAAATTAGCAATGAGTACTTTTTAATGACAGATTTTATTAACAGCCATTTACACAAATGAAAAGTTTGATTTACTATAAGTTTTTTTAATTTTAATGTCGAGAGGCAGGGTGGCCCACGTGCTTAAATTTCAGAATACCAAGATTGGAGCAGAGAGGCGCGGGTTCAAGCCCAGCTCTGTGCGCCAGTTTCTGGTCAAGCAAGGAGGCCGGGCGGTTAAGCACAACAGAATTAGAGCAGTGAGTTGTCAGAGCTTGAGAGTTGAGACCGCAACAAGCTGCGAATGTTCTGTGATGTTAAGAATCGGCAGCAGGCCAACGGACTTATAAACGCTGAAACCGCTATATTATTATTATTATATATTAATAAACATTCTAAATCGAACCTCTTTCGTTACCAAAAACACGCAATTGATGCTGGGCGCATATGAGAATTATCGATCTACAGTTGGACTAGCTCACTTCAAACTGGCGATAACTCTACCTCAATAGATGCGAGTAACATCAGAGTTGAATAAACTCTTTGCGCACCAGTGTATCTTCAAGTCAATGCTCACATTCGGGTACGCACACTAAGTTTGGTCATAATTTATTTGAATAAATTCTATGGAATCGAGTTTTTACAATTTCTCTGCATCATCAAGTCGAACATACTGATGGAATTGTCAGATAAATTTCTAGTGAAGTCAGATTGACCGTAAGTCAATATCGGCAGAGAGTCAACTCAGGCTTCCATGCGTACACCCGTAATTAATTAAATGTTATCGTGCAATAATTTAGTAATATTAATGATGAAATTTAACGTTATGGATTTACGTATTTGACTGATGCATTTGAGACCAAACAATCCCTGATGAAGCGTTTGTAAGCATTATTTTAGGATCGCAGGAACCAAACGTCGATGGTTCCACTGCATGATACGTGTGCTAGGCTCGCAATAGTTTGAACGTAGATGCACCAGCGCCCAGAGTTCCTACTGCAACAAGTTGCGGTCACCAGCTGTGTCCGGAGCTAGGGTAGGTGAGAGCCTGCAGCAATCGGATGTGCATGCAGGTCAGGCCGCGTCCTGCCGCCACCCCTCATGATGGCGTCATCGCTGCCCAGCTGTAACCAAGTGGTGAGAGATGCATTGTAGAACTCCGTGTATGAGTGTAAAAGTAAGTAACTGGAATTATTTTTGTACTTTGTACAAACGCTTCTTACGTTGAAATGTCTCATAAAGTTTACCGGAGTTTCTGCAACAACGTTTTCTAATGCTTAAAAATAAAACACAAGCCCGGTAAACATGGCAGGGAGTCCGATTATTTATTCATTTGCTCCCTAGTCACGTCGTAACTCAAGATGTAAGCGTTGTGGCCGTAGAAGCATAGAGTAGAACTGACGACGTTACGCAATTCAGCAAGCATAGATTCATAGACCCTATAGATTCTAGAATCTTCATTTATAGATTTCAAGCCGTCATGTCTACCTGTTATGTAAGACATGAATACGCATCAAATTGATGAAGTACAAACATGCCGTATTGCACGTCATGATTTGCTCATAGAATTTTCTTGATAGGTACATGATGGATATTTATGCATTAATTCAATCGTATCGGTACCCACATTCACCAACAATATATAATAGTTTGCCCAGTTCCAGCCATGGGAGAATCGGCTTTTTGACAACCAGTGTGAAGATGGCTGCTTGCTAGGCGGTAGGCGGCAGGCGCTACACGCTAGCAAGCCAGGCCAGGCTGAGGCCAGGCCGAGCCTCAGTCTATGGCTAGAAGTCGTGGAGTGTGGTTGTGTTCAACATTTTCGCAATTCTCTTGAATTAGGTCGTTCGCAAACTCCTCGACTTAAGTTATTGATGCATGTGTTTCTCTTAATCAGATAGTGATACTCTGAAAGGGTTATTTTATCTAGAATGCAGATCGAGAGCTTCATGTGTTCACGGTAACTTAGTTTAAAGCGAAACGTACATAACGTTTCATTGCTGGTGTTGTTGGCGAGAAATCGTTTGGCCACGATATGTTCTATTGATTTTCAGCACTCTATGCCTATTTTAACGACCACTGTTTCTTTAAAGATGTATATTTTGGTGAGCCTAATTTATGAGATTATTTGTATTGTTTTTTTTTTATTCTGCGTATTTATGAATGTGTGTACCTATGTTAAATTTCTTCCCCACTGCCGGTTTGCCCGGTCGGTGAATGGTGATCACTACGTCTAAATATTTGCTAAATGGGGGGTTAAAACAATTCTGTCAAATAGCGCCAAAACTCTGACACGTGCTAAAAAAACATGATGCATGTTGGCGGAGCTTGGTGAGCCTAGTTTGTGCATAGCTAAAGATAACTTAACATGTTGCCAAATGTTTCAGAAGTTACTTCCGTCACTGAGAGTCTGGGAGACGTGCGAAAAGTTTAGTAGGAGTTTAAGTTCGAGCTTCAATGATTTAGACAATGATTATTCGATTGTCATCGGTAGATTTTTTTCTCGCAGTCGTGTTCAGATTCTTTTTTACTTGGTGCTTTTGTTTCTGGGAGGTGAGAATACCTAATTGACAGGGTTTCAAAATTTTGTCATCTCAAACGGTGGTAAAGTGTGAGGCACTGTCACTGTGAGCTGTGAGGAACAGTGTGTGATTGAGTCATTTGAGTGAGAATCTACCTCTGGCATAGCTTATTTTTGTTATATGAAATTAAGATTAATTATGGTTTAAGAGTTATCCTACTTTATGTCCAATTTGTAATATATGTACGTTCATTCGAAAAAATTTATAGACAGACATAGATGTTCATTTCTGTTTGTGCGGGAATCGAGCTAAACTTGACTTCCAGTTTCAGTTAGTTTATTGTTCATACGTTTTACTAACGCTGCAGCTAGCAAACTATTTCGCATCGAAAGTCCAGAGCGCCAACGACGAAGTAGAAGGTTTTAATTATCGAAAAATTTTCAAGTCGGGAATTGTTCATTCAACGTGCGCGTGGTCTCGAGTGGCTGAAGCTGGCGACAAAAATTAGCTCAGCTTTCAGCACTCACTGCACTGAGTGACTGTGATTCTGTGAACGCATTTACTCACGTCCGTCTTTCCGTCACGGACGGACGGACGGACTGACATGACGAGCACAATAGCGCCGTTTTTCCATAAATGAGAAAATGCGCTAAAAACAGCGTTAGCATCTCAAAAAGACGAAACGGTAAAAAAAAGAACAAGTGAAAAGCAATAGAAACGAAGACACTTGCAGGTACACCCGCGCGCTCTGCTGTGGGTCATTCATGAACAAATGCCTCTGTTGGAAACCGAAGTCACGTCGACGACGATAGATTCGCTGTTCGCGTCACAAAGCCCCCTTCCTCCACCTGGTGCGACCGGATTATACCTACCGGTAAATTTTGGCATATTCGCCAATTTGAAAAGTCAGAATGCAGAATTTTCCTTGTTTATCAGCGAAAATACTTAAAAATGTACCTAATTAAAGAAATCCTATAAGGTTAACTCGACGTTGCTAGGAATGTTAGCAGGCTTACCGGACAGGTTCAAAGCCTGAAATGATTATTGAGAAATTATCACAATGAATGTATGCTATTGTTGTCGGTGATATGAAAATTTTTTAAAGGTGTGAATAACGTGTATATGTAAATATATATACTTGGTAAAACATGACATAATGTTTGAATGATGCCTAATTAATGTATGTATGTATGGCATCGTGGCATAAATGGCTACTTATAGCATATCGTAGATTCCGGAAAAGAAAATCGAAGTCGCGATGCGCTATCATCAATCAAGTCTGATTGAATTATAACGATTATTTCTTGCAATCTGTGCAGAACAGTACCGGTACCGGTCGGTATACATCTTGAATGAAAACAGCCTATTTATCAATATAATTAAACGATTGTTTTGAAATTTACTTTTCATATATTTTTTCCCGCAAATAGTGATTTAATCTCGATTTCGCAGTCTGATTTCTACTAGGAGTTTACTTTTGCGTTCAATTGCGTTCTACGTGTCAGGATTTTTACACCCAGCCCGTCTGTCGGTACCGCTCCTCCTGCCCGTGTGCTAAACTCGCAATAGTTTAAACGTGGATGCAAGTGCGGGTGATTTGACACTTGTTCGATAAAGACGACGTTTCCACGTGTTTTCTTGGGCAGACAGGACGTGACCGGACTTGCGTCCGGTTCATCATTCTGCGTGACCTTGAGGAAAACTTGATCGCGGACTAAGTTTTGCTGGCTGCGGCTTAATTCGTAAGAGGGGTCTTGCGTAAGCTGTCTCCTCATCCTAAGCATCTAGATGGATTGGGACTGGAGAAAGATGTTACCAGATTGTGGTGAGAAGATAAAATCGATGGCGTTGTCACCAATGCTTCGGCGGGGTTGAGACTGATCTTCAGTATATGTTCAACCATTATCGGCTCTAAACTATTTTCAATTTTATTGTTCTACAGTTCAGTTCAGTTTGTTTTTTCGAATTAAGATGCAAAATTTTCATTTATGCCCAAAAGCTTTTTTATTTCTCTAACAATTATTGAAACTATAGGTTTGTATTGATGATTTTATCCAATTCAATCAAATTTTTTTAACGATTTAATGAAATTTTTAGGTTGAAAAATTTTATTCGGAATTAGTTATTTGATTTCCACGGTAACTATGGGGTAAACTGCCTCACGTCAACTATTTTTGCGGGCGCATTTGTCATGATATCAAAAGATAAAGCTGGAGAAGAAATGTAACAACAGTGATCGCTTAATATGTGTGTAATATTCATTAATTTGTAATATTTGAATGTGCCAATGTGCGTGCTATCACTAGAACAACCTTGATAACAAGCGATGCTGTACCTAATCTAATGACGTGTTTCAGCGTCGGATTAGGAGGCTAGTATATAGTTTCTTTCGCGACGTGTTAGCGGGAGCGTCTGCCTCCCGACTAAACATAATTACGTGCTACCCCTGACGCGGCCTCTCGATCCATGGCGTCATCGCGCTGCTTGCTCTGCACTTGTGAATCCTCTAAAGTCTAAACGATCGTATGTATACTCAGAAAAATAAATGCATCATGTTGTGCAAATAGTGACCCGATACGCCCTTATGCCGATCTTATCTAGATAAGGTTGACCTATACAAAGGCAAGAAGTGCATCGCTATTTGAACAGAGTGTCACTCGTATTTCTGAGTGTCAATAATGACAAGTTAGGGATTTTTAATCACCTGGTGCTGGGGTTACCGCCTCTTGTGAATTTTGTCGACGTAGTTACTGTGTATCGGTCCATTACCGTCCGTGGAAAGGCTATCTCGAGATTTTATTTGATGTTGGTGAACAGTTTGGTTCGTTATTTTCTAGAAGCAATGAAATAAGAATATCTTGCAGTCAGGATCTCCTGTTCTTGACTGGTTTCCCTGATCTTGTCACAAGGCCTAACCGCAAGCCAAAGTTTAGCACTGCATTTCTTTCCACATATGTGAGTAGCGAGTTAAAAGCTTCTCGAAGCTCTCGATCGTATCGAAGTCGATAGTTTCCTTAAGGAAACTGAAGAGATGTAATCCTTTATAGATGAATGGACAACAAAGTTTTCACGATCGAGGAATTAAATAATGGGAACTTAACTTATTAAAGATTAGGTTGACGACTATTAACTTAATATCTTTGATCGTGCTAGTTCCAATACAATACATACACAAAAACAAAGATCACGAAGATTTTTCATGTAGAAGTAGGTGCTCATAGTTGTTTTGTTTTTCATCCGTGCCGAAGTAGAGGTCAGTGTGTGTTATGTCGGTTGTTTGAGCAGTCGGTAATCAGTCTCATAAGTTGTAATCAGTCTCATGAGTTGTAATCAGTCTCATGAGCTGTAATCAATCGGTAATCAGTATCCCACAATAATGAGTTATATCTAGAGGACGTCGTGGTTCATTATTTGCTACTCCTGCCTAATGCGCTGTTTATACCCTATCAGAAGATTATGCTCATAGCTACTTTGAGCATAAAGCAATGTTATTCAGCGTCTAGGGACCATATTGACGGGTTGGGCATTATATTGCGTAATGACACCCCGAGAAGTACAATCATATTGCGCTAACAGTCCCTCCCAAACTTTCATGACCTTATGACGAGTTCGGGACTTCTTAGTACCCTGTCACGCTGATGTGCCGCCTTCGTCGTCCTCCGTCCCCGAGTCGTCGCTAGGCAGGTCACCCCGCCCTCGTCATGACGAGCGAAACTGAATCGTGTTGTGTCATAATTTTGTGGCTGAAAGCTGTAGAATATAAGGCTCGCAGAAGAATAACAGTATACCATGTAATGGTTTATTGACGGCGAAGTTTATTTAAAAAGCATTAAAGAGTAAAATAACCGAGAGCACTTTCTAATCAGTATCCCGTACTGCTCCCCTTTTTCAAACGATTATAATTTTCTTTGCATTTGAATTCCCGCAAAGCTTGCAGACCTCTATAAACGCTCAGGGACGCATTGAGCGAGAATATTGCGAAATATAGCCTCTATATTATAGATTGCGCAATATCTTCCAGTTTTCACTAGTATATATTTTTGAGATTGCGAAAATCACGTAATTTACTGCGCAATCCGTCAATATCGCTCTTCAACGCTCAATAAAGTTGTGCAATTATATTGGGCGTCTTTGGTTAAGTCTAAATCCATCCTTTCGAAAAAAAGGCGCTTACGCTCAGTGCTGCCAATTAAGCTGTTTTCCTGCTAAATCTAGCGTATTTTCAACGCATTAAGCGGGTAAAAATTAGCTCTAGAAAAAAAATGTAGGCAAATGAGCTTTATAGCTACAAAATCTGAATATTTAGATTTTTTTGTTTACAGGTGACAGATTTTAGTTTGAAAATCACTGAAAGAGTTGGCAACACTGGTTACGCTTGCATCACCATCACATCCCAGTTAACAGCGACCGGCGCGGAGGAAGGTAGACAAGTACTGCTTGTCTGGTATTGCCGACCGGTGTTCTCCGAAAGTAATCGAGTGCACGTTAGTCACGTGTTGAATGTTGTTCACGCAAATCGGCGTGATTTATACTGTGTTTATCTGCAGTGCGTAAATTTATTCGTATCACACTCGTGAGCTCTACGTGAAATGAACTTTAACGCGCTCTGAGCTAATAGCTGATTTGATAATCTCTTAATTCATGTTTGTGTTCTGTAGCCACCCGTAATCACTAAGACTAAACAGTATTTGAACTTAACCTACATTTTCATTCAGTTGCGCCTAATGGAGTATAGATGTGTTACATACACATTTTAAAATTAAGAATTTTCTGCTCTTTGTTTTGTATACCTACTGAAGAATGCTTTAATAGCAGTAATTTCTTCTTTTAACGAAAGATAATTTGTATGAAAGATTTCTGTGATGAAACATAGTACCGTTAGTACATTTCTAGTCTTGGGGTAACTTCCCTGCAAAGCCATTAATGTTTTTTCTTGTACTTGCAGATAAATTAATTTGTAATTGATTGCCTTAGTGCTAATAGAAAAATATGAAAGCTTCGCAGCACGTTGGTAAGCTCTCCGTGCGTGTGCAATTATCACCACTAATTTACTAGCCATTCTGTTTCAGTGTATCACGATGCTGTCGAAGCAGATAAACTACATATTAAGGTTAGTTTAGTTTCACTGCAACATATAATGTTTAATTGTAAGTGTTACTAGTGATGTTATCGTTCTAGCTTCAGCACTCAGACTAACGTGAAGTTGATATTATGTATCATGTTCTTTGGATGCTTAAATGATCACTTTTTAAATAAAATATGTTCAACATGCTTTACATTTAGGTATTCTTAGCGTCATTAATCGTACCAAGCATGAATCTCAATATCCTGACAACGGACTATTCTTCCAAGTATAAATATGCGTGGAGCTAAACATTAAAAAATGTGACTCTTTTATTTATCTTCGGTTTGTTTATGTCTTCCTGACACGATTAAATGTATTCACTGTGCTGTGCTGTTATAATCTATGAAGACGTACTGAAAGCTGTGTATAACTTCTAAAATAAAAATATATTGCCTAACATGAGCGCATAAATGCAATCAGAGATTGGCACGAATTTGTCCATGCTTCGTATTGATTTCTTTTGAAATATCCATCTCGGCATCCTCACTCACGTTTCTAAAAGCCTTTGGGAATAAGGACTTTATGTGAAGTGTTGCTGGCAGCGCTGCATGACTCATGTTTACTGAAGCTAAATGTATTGTTTGCTTCCCAGTTTCATGCGCTCGGTCTGGTGTTGTACATCGGAAGGAGCACTGCGAGATGCTGCCAGACGTATGCTGGAGGGTGAGTAAACCATTCAATTTCGTAGTCGTTTTTGCCTCTCTTTTTTTTTTTGTTTTCAATCTGTTGAAATTCTATCAGATTATTAACTTTCAAATAATAATTTTATCATATCACACTGTACCCTGTAAGTTTATGTCATAGTATTAACAAAACTTGCGACTTCAGAGGGCAAATTTACTTCTGATTTAATTTCGTTTGACTTTCTTTTTCATACGTTTAAGGTAACTTCAGAACGAACATGCACGATTGTACGGTAAAATTTGTTCGTTGGGGACTTGTTCTAATAGAAAAATTTTCAGGTCCTGAATTAAGACACCTATAATTTTTACGAATTTTTTTGGCGACTAAAAATAGGCTATACATTTGAATGTGTCCAGTGTTGTGAGAATATAATCAGTTTCCTTCGTATTTAGTGATAACTTCATCTGTGACACAGTGTGACTGAAACTGAAACATCTACGGATGAAAGTTGAACGATTGATTTGACTTGCATGTAAAGCTAGTAAAACAAATATTCATTGTATAGCCGCTTACCTTTGGATGAGGTGAGGGCCAATATTCTCAAATTGACTTCCTTAGCTTCAGACGAAATTTTCTTGCTACGTGCTAGAGTTGGCTATTTAGTACATGCAATTCAAAATTTAATGTTACGTGGCGCTAAAATATTTAGTACTTACAATTCGTTCTCATTATCGCTGGTACATGTGTCACTTGCTGGCGGCAAGAATGTGATGCTCGAATGAAATCTATGCTTAAAATTGTCGGCGGAATCCAACAATTTTAAGAGATGACCAATTGTACACGTGGACAGTATAAGCTCTTGCGCCACGTTTTCTTGTAGCCTGTAATTGGTAAACGCAAGGCAGAAGCCACTGATAGTATCGTCTTGCAGGTGTTTGCACCTAGAGGTGTAGGTCCATATCATCCCACGCATCGCTATACGTGGACAACCTTGTATCGTTCGATGTTGTCACGTGTATAGATCGTGTGACTAATTATAGTTAGGTACTAATTGCAACAAGAGGGCACACAAGATACTATTTGAACTGATGGATCTCTATGATTCACCGCTACACTTGAGTCACAGTTAAATAAGGAAATGCCACTCACTACACTCAGGAGTTAGATGATTCATCACAACCACAATATGCGGCCGTAATTTTTTAAAGAAATTTTACTGGAACGCTTTAGATTAGATTATTAGAAACATCATTATGGACTAGGCTGTACAGATTGTTTTAATGAAAAATTCGCTCATGATATCCCAACTATCACCAAATTTTTATGGAAACTTTCTCTGCTTGACAGGAGTAAAATCCCTGGAACCAGAAATGTACGTCAACATCGGCCCAGTCGTGGACAAGGAAGAAGGCGACCGAGTTTTCACGTTGAGAGCGAACGTTTCGTCTCCCCGGATGCCGGTGGTGCTGGTGCACGGCTTTGGTTGCGGCTCATCCTTTTGGTGCAACAACATTGATGCTTTGGCCGAGGACAGGCCTGTCTATGCCATGGACCTTGTCGGTTAGTACACGTTGAATTTTTAAAATCAGTTTGATGTTATTTGCTTGATGGAGTGTTGTGTTGGTTTTGAATTTAGATTAATATATAATGTAAGCAAATTTGTGTAGAATATATCAACTTGAGCGGTGACGAAAACAATGTCGTGGCGAGGACAGGGAAACAACAATATAGTGCAGAAATGTCTTATGAATTTTTATTTCGAAGAAATAAACTAAATCGCTGCACCCGTTAGCGGAAGGGGGCGGCTGAGCTGTGCCTCATTCATTCACACGCATCAAATCGTCTGGACATTCATCGTAGATAGAATATAAATTCGGTTAAAGATTATGTAAAGTGAGAAATCGTCAATTAATCGCTTAGGAATTAAATTAGATTGATTGGACATTAATTATCAGTTAAGCATCAATTATCAGCTAAGTATCAATTATTCAGTTAGAAAAAGTCTGGGCTCTTCACGACTAGTCTGGGCTCTTCTTTGTTTAGACTTTAGTCTCATGGCTCTTCACGAAGCAGTTTTTGACCAGCGGCACAAGGTTAGGTAGCGACTCACGGCTTCTTAGAAGAAGAGCAAGTTATCCTGGGTCCAAGTGAGGAGTCGTCTAGTAAATGGTAGACTAGTGGCGTAATCTCATCATCGCCAGTCCCGGAGCCAAGATGACCAAACGAACAAGAGGGCACACACGCTAGCCATAACGACGGTATCAGGACGAACGGCAGAGATGGTGGCCGAAGATAATCTGTATGTTGGCGGCCAGCGTTGCCCGACTTCTGCTTCGCTGGAGGGAAAGCCTCAAAAACCGTTTAAACTTTAAAGCAAAGTCGCGCGACCCGCCTGGCCGCTGAATGAATGCATTGAATTTGCAATGTGATAGGACGCGGATAATTAGAGCGAAATGGATTTGAACACTTTCTAATTAGTTACCAGTAATAATTGAAAGGTGATATACTTGAATTTAACCTTTTCGACAAGCGGATGCGTCAATCCATAGGCTAGATTCCAATTTTCTTTTTCGGAAGGTGTTAATAACACATTATTCGAATTTCTACGATTATTTGTCGTTTGTTCTGGATGTCAGGTTCTTCCACGATAAAATACGCCTGCTTCTTGACTGCCTGTTTACAGACTTGACGGATGGGAGGCTAAAATTACAAAATGTATGTTTTTTAGTAGTAATAATATTATAAGTAGTATTAGTATTAAAAGACGAAAAAGTATTCAATTGAACAACAATTTACGCCTGTTTAGCTTAGTGTTATACATATTGGATATCTAACATACGGGGCATCACGTGTGCGTGCCATTGGGCACATGCCTCGTCACGTCCGGTTGCCGGCATCGCGTTTCTTGACCTGATTCTTTGAAGTAATTACGATACAGCAAACTCATCATCAAGCAGCGTAGCGTCTGCAAGGTCTTCAAGCAAGTTTTGTCAATTTAAAAGGTAGAGCCTGAAATTCCAATATTTAAACGTACGTACATCGTAACGCTTCTTTGGAATCCTCCGACTTGGAACAATGTTCGTTTCCACCTCTCCCTGACGCTGCCTCATAATTGAATAATAACTGTTTATTATTATTAACAACTGTTTATTATTAATAATAACTGTTTATGTTAATAATAACATAATTGAATAATAACTGTATTCCGATAGCTATTTATCTTGCGTTCATCTGAGAATATCTCTTCTAGATAATACAAATGTAATGAAACCCCAACCGTATAGTCTCAATTATGTGAATAAATATTGAGATTTTACCCTATCTTCTACATGCTATCTACTGTACGCTTCAAAACTGCATGCCGTGCCCAACTCTGAATTTCACCGAAGTTCCTTGAATGAATGAGAGTTGTGCTGTTTGTTATGGTTTTTATTATCGCGCCTTGAGATAACCCCATGCACCGGAATAACTGAGATAACTGGCTTATCAATTGGGTATCTACAGTATTTACCCGTCGACATATTGTTGTTTATCCATCAAGGTTATATATACTAGCGGTCAGTAAATTGGAAGAAAAGTACACAAATTACTTGATTATCCATTAAGAAATTAGTTAATTCGGTTTAATATTGTTCGGGAATAAGTTTCCGGTTATAATTCGTCACACATGCACAAACGTTCATAAATTATTGTAGGAGGAGTTTCCTAAATCTAAATTAACACAAACTAGGTATAGTATATTGATCTGGCTTTGGAAAGACATCATGCACAAAATTTTAAATATAATTATTTTCAAACAAAGAATTTTCGTCCCTCCCCAAGCATTATGGGAACACTAGCAGGACCACAATAAACTGTTACAACTATAGAAACATCGCTGAAGGGGGAAGATTTTTTATGCGTTTCAGTGGCAAATTTCGATTGAATTGATGACCACACACTTCTCATCTGATAGCTTTCCCCTTAAGATGTACTCGATTGTAGCTAATTTCCCCCATATCTTGTACAGGTTTTGGTCGTAGTTCTCGCGCTGCCGATTTCGACGAAGACCCTCTGAAGGCTGAGCAGCAATACGTCGAGACCATCGAGTTGTGGAGACAAGCAATGGGCCTTGAGAGGTTTTATCTTTGTGGCCACTCATTCGGAGGCTACTTATGCACCTTGTATGCCATGAAGTATCCTAATAGGTGAGTATCCTCAGTAATTAATATTGCTTCACTCATTAGGAGGCTACTTATGCACCTTGTATGCCATGAAGTATCCTAATAGGTGAGTATCCTCAGTAATTGATATTGCTTCACTCATTAGGAGGCTACTTATGCACCTTGTATGCCATGAAGTACCCCAATAGGTGAGTATCCTCAGTAATTAATATTAATGAATTTAACTTCAAAACGTGGGAACCAAGAATGAGAGATTTATGCTCGCTATTGAATAAAAATTTATGCTCAAATTTATGTTGAATTAAATGAAAAATTTATGCTCGTTGTGAATTTGCGTATAACTTGGGTCCGTTAGTATATTTTCATCTAACGTGAGCAAATGTGATGTTATAATATACGTAATAGGTATTGATTTAATGTACTTTTCATTAGTAGTAAATATAGATAATTGATTGACATAAAACTGAATTTTGCACAGAGTAAACTATTTGGAAAATCCTTGAGACTCCTTAAAAGGAAGACCATGTAAAAAAATTTAACTGTGGGAAACCAGACTCTAGATTCTTCAATACCATCTCAATTTTAGCAGAATTCCATTAATTTTTTTTAAATCAATAATTTAGAAACAACGATTGTGTTATTATGTTACTACCATTTATATTAATAATTATTAGTTCAGTACGATTTGAATTGTGTTATTAAATTGAATGAAGCAAATAGTTCGGGATCAAAATCTTTTGCTTAAAAATAGGAAGTTATAAATTTAAAAGAACTGTTCTATGTTTTCCTTTGCGTTCATTTGGCTGCAACCTTCACTGTCTTCGATTATGAACAGCACAAACTACTACGTGAACATTTTTCACAAATAAATATTTAAAATATATTAAGCCATAGCTGCAAATAATCTGCGCCTATTGTATGATTAGTTTCATTATAGCCTGTGGTGGCCGAGTGGTTAGGATCACTTATATTGGAACTGCGAGTTGGGGGTTCAAAAGTTGCAGCTAGCTGTGAAAATTTCGGTCGAAATCGGCAATCAAGGTTGGAGGGTGGTCTAGAATTGGCGAACGGTCAATCAGAACTAATCAAAAGCTAATCTCAATATAAGTATATTAAACTATTTTATATAATATTGTTTTTAGCGCATTTTCTCACTTATGGAAAAAAGGCGCTATTGTGCTCGTCATGTCCGTCCGTCCATCCGTCTGTCTGTCCGTCCGTCCGTGTCTTCATGTTTTCGTCGACGAGAAAATGCGCTCTCCGTCACTCACTGCAGTGAGTACTGAGTTATATATTTTTTATAAGATATGCTAACCTCAATATTTATCCAAAGCTATTCTCATTATATTATATAATACTATTTTGTATTACATTATTATTTATAATATAATAAGTTGCATTGTTAATGAAAGTATTGTTGCAGAGTAGAGCATATATATTTTTTCCATAAATGAGAAAATGTGCTAAAATTGAAAGGAATTTAGTTTAACAAAAACAAAACGTATATTGTATGTGGCAATGTATAATGTTATGAAAAATATTATATATTTTTTCTAATATATGAAGTATTGTTGCAGAGTAGAGCACCTGGTGCTGGCTGAGCCCTGGGGCTTCCCTGTACGGCCGCCAGGCTACCGCCCCAAGCTGTGGGTGCAGCCCATAGACTGGGGCGCAGACTACACCCTCGCCTTCTCCTGCATACGCTACCCCGGCCTCTTCGGTGAGCCTTCGTCTCGTCATCACGTCACCACGTCATTACATCACCACGTCATCACGTCATCACATCACCACGTCATCACATCACCACGTCATCACATCACCACGTCATCACATCACCACGTCATCAAATCTGGTGGCGTGGTCACATCACCACGTCTGGTGGTGTGGTCACATCACCACGTCTGGTGGTGTGGTCACATCACCACGTCTGGTGGCGTGGTCACGTCACCACGTCTGGTGGTGTGGTCACATCACCACGTCTGGTGGTGTGGTCACATCACCACGTC